TTAGTCAGGGTTGTTGGAAGAAATAATTGTCTTTGCTGATATGGTAATTCTGTAGATGGTTATTTTATGGAATTAGTATTAAAATAATTAAATAATTTTAAATTATTTTATTATTTGAAGACTGATTTCTGGAGAAGTCTCAAATATGGCTTTAGAGCTTGTAGTTTTGCTGCTGGTAGCTTGCTTACATCGTTTTTTGAAATGTGCCTTGAAACAATCTTGTTTCTTGAGGTATTTTTGGTTAAGTGCTATGTGGCCTTTAAGTTTATTCACACAGTTGTTTTGTTTGTGGTCTACTGGCATATGCAGTCTTTGCTTTTTCTTCTTTGTTTTGTTCTTTGAATAACATTCACAAACAATTTTGAATTTTGCACCTCCATTTTTCTTTGTAGGAAACAAATGCTACCAGTTAAGATTCTGTAACTCTGTTAATTGATTTGTCCTTTTTTTTTTTCCTTTCAGTTTGCCTGTTGTTTTTCTTAAATAACCTTTTTACATATTCAGCAAGGAGAAGAAAAATGCTTTTAAAGTAGTTTTTGCTGTTTATTTTTCTCACCTGTCTTCTCTATCTCTTCTCTAGCCTTCTGTTGTTTTGTGCTTGTGTATTTCTTCAGTTCTCATTTATTTCTACCTCTGTGCATCAAGTTAATTCTCTGTTTTGTAGAGTATGTGGAACTACAAACTGCTTATAATCCTTAATTTAGCTTTGGATGTTTTCTGTTTCCCATGTCCCCTTTGCCCCTCCTCTGTTCTTTTGGGATTCATTTCCACAAGAACCGTCCTTGTGTTCTGAACAATTGAAGTGTCTTAATTTTTCCTCTTTCTAGATGGATTTTGGTACTAATTGCAAAATATTTCTCAGTAAATTTTATGCATTTAGATGACCTTGCACTTCTAGTGGTGTTGCTGTGACTCGGTCATGTGAGATTTCCTTCTCATTCTCCACACAAATACTGTTTAAATTATTTCTGTATCCTAATACAAGGTCTGTTAAGAAAAGCGAAGACTCTGTTTGCTACTGATTGAACTTGGAGGGCACCCTCGGACTGCCAACTTTTCATCTCTATTTCAGAACTTTTTTACCATTCCCAGATAGTGTTCTCTTTTTTTCCCTGATTCAGTATTTCCACTTTTAGAAATGTATTACTGAAGTGCAAAAAAAAAAAAGTCTGGGCAGGGAATACTATATGGGCAGTACTTGTTCAATAATACTGTAAAGCCCAACCTTCTGATGTTTTTTTATACAAATACTTTGTTATCCCTTACAAGTACAGATCACAAAGTAGTACAGAAGTGCCTCAACCAAACACGTTATAATAAAAGGAGGCAGAAAAGAAGTTTGGTTAGTTATGGCCTTCTGTATGTTAAGGGCATATAGATGCTATCACAAAAATGAAATGCCTGCATTACAGAAGTGGGCTTGAGTTTTAGAATAAACTTTAAAAAAGCAAACAACAAAATCTCTGCCTAGAGATGTATAAAAATGAATTGCATTTCTTTATTTCAGGTCATTAATTCTTGGAATCAGTTTTGGGTTTTTAGAAGTCTTTGACCTAGTTATATGCAAACTTTAGTATCAGTTTTGTAGCAAAGTTCTTCCAATACTGACATTATAAAAATAAACTGTTGGCTTTATTTGCACTTAATAGCCTTGATTCTAGTAGAGACATCATGGTGAAATTGATCTAGGAACTAATGAAATTCACAATCAGATTTTTAAATGACCTTTCAGGTGTACATTTATATAGTACTTTTGTTCTTCAGTTAATGCTATTTTAATAGTTTTATTTTAATGCAAGTGTAGGGTCCTGCACCTGGGGAGGAATAACCCCATGCACCAGTACAGGCTGGGGGTCGACCTGCTGGAATGCAGCTCAGCAGAGAAGGACCTGCGAGTCCTGGTGGACAACAAGTTGCCCATCAGCCAGCAATGTGCCCTCCTGGCCAAGGAGGCCGATGGTATCTTGGAGTGCATGAGGAAGAGTGTGGCCAACAGGTCAAGGGAGGTTATCCTCCCCCTCTACTCTGCCCTGGTGAGGCCACATCTGGAGTTCCGTGCCCAGTTCTGGGCTCCCCAGTTCAAGAAAGACAAAAGAACTACGGGAGAGAGTCCAGCGGAGGGCAATGAAGATGAGGGGACTGAAGCATCTCCCTTATGAGGAAAGTCTGAAAGAATTGGGTCTGTTCAGCCTGGAGAAGAGAAGACTGAGAGGGGATCTCACCAATACTTAAAATACCTTAAGGGCCGGTGTGAAGAGGATGGGGCCAGACTCTTTTTAGTGGTGCCTGGCAACAGGTTAAGGGACAACAGGCACAAACTGAAACACAGGAACTTTCATCTTAATGTGGTAATTTGCCTGTTAAGAAGCTGACAGCATTGGGAAGCTAATGTACAGTCCTGGCTACTGAAATGAGGACAAGAATCCAGTGGATGCTGTATCAGAGCATCCGATTTGAGAGAGACTGGCATTGTGGTCTTAAACTTCAGAAGTTCTGCAGAGCTTCTGTGACCTTTTTCTGTCAGGGAAGCTCCAGGGAATGGAAATTTAAACCACTTCAGCTTATTCAATGTATCCCACATTGTGTTGGCAAAAAGCCAGTTTTAGGTGAAGGAAACTCCAGCTTGTACCAAGCAACTAGGAAAACCCCATGCCAAGCTCAACTCAGGAATGTCTTCCTCCCTCCTCTCTTGTTTGGTGGGTGTTTTTTTTTTTGTTTGTTTTGTTTTGTTTTGGTCCAGGGATCTTTCCTGGGATTTCAGGCAGATGCAAAAAGACATTTGTATCTGTATTTGTAAAGGGGGATGTTACTAGAGCATAGTTTTAGTGCTGCCTATGCTGGCTGGGGAGGGCTTGGTTTTTCTCCTAAATATTTTGCAAACTTCATGGTTTGTTTTTTCATTTGTTTTGATATCTGACATTCACTGTGTCTGGTTTGGGGTTTAACTGTTTTCCTTTTTGCAATCCCTTCCTCATGTCTAATCATGCGCTGACTGCTCTGGTGTCTGTTTCAGACAAGCAGCAAAGTAAAGCTGACATTAATTAGGTGTTTACATTTACCAGACATAATACAAATTTTGCTGTTAAAGTTCTGTAGTGCAGACAACATTTGGTGTTGTGCTGTTTCTTTTCTCTGATGTGCCCTCTCAGTTTCTGAACAGTTCTACTTTTTAGATCCTGAAGGCTTCTATGATTGGCAGGATGGCATTTTCACTGTGTCTATGTGCAGACTTTATATGAATTAAAAGTGTTTTTGAAAGTAACATCTCTTGCTGTTAATGAAGCTGGACAATTACAAAGTCAGGCTGGCTGCTGCTTCTGAATTCCTGAAAAATATAGTTAGTAATACAGCAGGTTGCAAACCAAATTTTCTCATAAGAATTAGCATAATGAATGGGAGGAAATGCCTTTTGATACCTAAGAAGTATACACAGTTGAAATGTGCAGGGATAGGTAAGGAAGAAATGAAGGATAGGGAGGCAGAAGCAAGATCATTAGGACTGTTAAACAGTAGAGATGCTGGCTTTTTGGAGTGGATCACAGTTCTTACAGGTTTCAACTTTTTCACTTGTGAGAGTAAGTGCACAATCATTTCCATGTTCAGGGAATGCTGATAGGATTTACATCATATATACTACCAGAGTGTATTGAAATAAAATAAAGTCCCTGTGTGCATCATCTCTTCTTATCTTAGTACTTCTGGGAAAAATGGTTTTACCATCCATCAAACTCAGGTGCTTATCTGTGAAACTGATGATGGTTAACAGATAGAGTGTTAAGCATTAAAAAATGGAAGTTTGACGCAGTGGTTAAAGAAGCAACAGACAGCAAGCTGTTCCTGTATTTTCCCTTTTTTTTCCTGATCAATCTACATAAACTTCCTCTGGATATCACAGCTTATAGATATTTCAAATTAGGATCAGGTATTAGGGTCCAGAGGAAAACCTGACTGATCTACCACAAAAGGTTAGAATTTGTTAATGCTTTTCTGGTCATGAAATGAGTTTGTGGATTTCAGTCCATGCTTAAAACTGTGACAAGCATTCCAATCATATGACAGAACAAGCGTGATGCTGCTGCAGATATATTGAAAAAAATTCTGTCGTACCTTTGGTAATCAGTATTAGTCTCTGTCTACATCTGTTGTATGAAGGACTGACTGAACTGAATTTGTATTCTGAACAGACCTAAATCCCTCACTTCCCCTCACTGGTAGAAAAAGATCAACTTTGTGTTTACTGCTTTCCTTACCATGTTCCCAGACAATTCTTGATAATGGATGCTTGTGGGGCCCAGAATATAGAACGTGTCATTAGATACTGTATTATGATTCAAGAAAAGATTGCTTTAATAAGGGAACATAATGCAATTTGAAACACATTTCCTGTATGTGGAGTACTGTAGTGTCTCATGTAATGTATGACTTCTCATTTGCAAAGGATCCAGATCATTCCTTCTACCTCCAAAGATAACTGGAAGTGGTGTAAGACATAGTGCTTTTAGTTCCATATGTAGTTTGGTGTGTGCCCCTCTTAGCTTCCTGCAATACCAGTCTTTTGGAAAGACAAAACAATGAGCAGTAGTGTGCAGCCACTTGTCCCATGGATTTTGGTTTCTTGTCTTGATGGGGTTCTTGGTAAGGACTTCAGCTATTTAGTATTGTCCCTTCTCTACTTGGATTTTATGTTCAGGAGAAGCTGTTTCATCTAAGTCTCACCTCCAGCCCTTTGAGAGTGAGTGATCATTCTACCCGTATGTAAGGAATCTTGCTCAACAGATGCTTACAAATATTTTCAATAAATGAAACCCTGGTGGTTTTGTTGTGTGTTTTTTTTTTTTTTTTCCCCAGTGCAACTGATGAACCTTTATCATGGCTCATCTTTTTAAGCAGGTTTTCCACTTGTTTTAAGTTATGAAGTTTGTTAAGAAGTTGCTTGTCACTCTGAAATTTATGTTTTTTCACATTTTGTAATATCAGTAATTCTTCAGAATTGTGCTACAATGGGGTATCTCTCAGGGAGGCTTCCAGAGTTAGTTCATGCTTTGGCCAGATTGTTCTCCAGTTACTCTTTGGTAAGATTTCAGTGCCCGATGTCCTGTCATAAGCTCCTTGCATGGAAGGTGCCCGAAGTTGATTGGAGAAGGTCAGTTGAAGAAGAAAATTGTTAATTACTTTGTAAGGGAGTCTTTTGAAGCAAAAAATCTTAATAAGGCTATATTTCTGTTTCCTGTGACCCTGTTCTCCCTACTCTTTCTAGGCAGTTGACCTCACTGCTGTCAAGTTTTGCTTAGATTTAATTTGAAAAATATACACAATCTGCATTGGTTTGTTACTCGCTGATGGAGACGAATGACATTGTTGATAAACCAGCATTTTTCTGTGCCATAAAACATAGTTATACAGTAAAGTGTTAGAAGAAAAGAAGGCTTTAATTTGTTGTCTTTGTTCAAGCTTTCTAGGGATTTGGCCTTGCATTTTAGTAATTATGTCAATGCTTCTGCATACAAGTCCTATTTTAATAGGTTCTAATGTTCTCATGTAGTATGTTCCTGTCTTGTCTTACTGCACTAGTAGAAATGTGCTGTCTGGTAGTGCTGTGTTGCTTGATCTCTGCTGATCTATTTTTCATTTTTAGAAAAGTCACTAAATGTGTGGTATTTAAAAGATATTCAACACTGCTTTTATTTCATGTTATGCTAGGTTATGTTCTCATTTTATGATTTATGTGAAGTCTCGAATCTGTTCTTTCAGAACTGGTAAGCTGAATTGAGGTCTAGCAGTAATGCACATTCTAGCTGTCAGAAGCATCTGGGTTGGTTTTTTGTTTGTTTGGGTTTTTTGTTGTTTTTTGTTGGTTTTTTTAGGAGAATTGTTTGATAGTAGCATTAATATAGAAATATTTGCTAGCTGACAGCAATGATTGTCAGAGCAGGTTTTCTCATGGCATGCCCATGTTGACTTTTCAGCTGCAGAAAACTGCAAGAGTTTAATACATTTCTGTTAAAAAGAGAAAATTCTATTGGCCAGACTTTCAAAGTATTATGTTGACATATCTGAGTCTATTGTTTATTGTTAGTTTTAGCACGGTTGTAGTCTTGAGTCACTGTTAAAACCCATGTGTTCACAGCTGCTTATGGGACCATGTGGCCCACTTCTGCATTCTATACAAAAGTGCTACAGGAGAACATTTTAAATGTAGACTCTCAAAGTGAATTTGTAATTTTACAGCCTTTAAGTATTTCACAACTTCTTATAGTGTGTTATTACACAGACAGATGTTTACAGTCAATTCAGTTGTACTTATATATATACACACAGAGAGTGAGACAGAATGTATAAAACTGTTTATATATTTAGAGTATAAAACAATGTCTGCACTTAGGAAGCTGATATACATTATACAAAAAAACCCCCAAACTGAAAGAATATAAGGTTGTGTACTTAGTGTACTAAACTGTACATAGTTAATCTTTTTGTATAATGATCCTGTTAGTATTACCATGACCAGCCTATGTTAATACTAACAGAAGGTTAAATTCCTTAGTCTACAGAGTGAAGTGATACTGCAAGATGTTAGAAGATGATATAGTAGAAGACATAGAATTACCTTCTGAGCATTATAAAGAAAAATATTTTTTTCTATTCAAAAAATATTTCTGGAGAGATTAATATTTGGGGTAGAAAATGTTAAGTAAGATGTTAATTTTTCTGAAACCTATTACGTGTTTAATTTAGCCTTAAGAGATAGAAAATACATCTATCTACATGGTTTTGAAGTATTCCATGGCTTTTAAGTATCCCAAGCAGGTTTAGACAGTTAGTGGTTTACAGCAGAATTATGTCCTTCAGTGTCTATGCAGTGTGATACCAAGGTGTTAGATGCAGCGAGTCTGTAAGCCACTCCTTCACGCACTGTATAGCAGAGGATGGAATAAAGCACTGTTTGCAGGAGTGATGAAAGCAAGCTAAAGCTAAAACATTAAAGCATTTTGATGTTTAAGAAAATCATGTAGCTGTATTCCAATTTTCAGAGCAGTGGAAAGAGTTCTGTGTTGGAAAGTCTTGTGGGGAGGGATCTGCTCCCACGAGGTACTGGAGTTGTCACCCGGAGACCCCTTATTCTGCAGCTGGTGCATGTTTCCCCAGAGGATGGTCGGAAAACAGCTGGCGATGAAAATGGTAAGTGTGATCCAAGATTGTGTTTTGTCTTGTAGGAAAGAGACCTTTAATTTTTCTTGTTTATTTGATTGAAAAATCAGTTGTTGTAATCTTAAAACTTGAGCTTGCTTTTTAAAATTTACTTGGAAGAAAACACAGCTGTTCTCATCTATTCTGTCTATTTAGCAAATGTCATGAAGTCAAAATCTTTTGGATATTCAAAATATTTTTAATGTTTTAAGATTTGGTTTGTTCTTAGGAAACACTTTTCTGAAAAGCAGGCCAAAGAAAGCATTTCAGTTATGATAATGATTGTCTAGAGTGTAGAGAACATGATTTTCTTGTATGTGTTTTTCTTCACCTCCTCTTGCTGTATAAATAGGAATTTTTTTTCCTTCAGAGGATGAGTGTGACTTTTTAGAAGGAGGTTAGGAAATAGAGAAGTTCTGAATAGAGCAGAAGGAGAGACGAAAACAAACGTGTAGTAGATGCAAACAGAATTTAATGGGCACATTCTGTAGCTTACAGGTGCTACCTTATAGGGCTGCCCCAAGAGATTATCCAAGTGCATCAAGACCTACACTTTAAATGTTCTGAAGCTGTCTAGTTTCAAGCTTGTGTCTTCTGTAGTGTTTCTGTATTATCCTTCAGCAGATCAAGAAAGTAATCTCAGTTGTCCCTTGGGAGTTTGAACGTTCCTTCTATACTAACTGGTGCTCTTGATCTTATGAAGGAGCAGCAGGGGCATATCCACCTTCTGATCATAAGATAAATCTTAGCTTTTTGATGTAGACAGTAAAAAGTACACAGGGTTTTGATGGTGTGATAAACTTGGGGCTATAATTATTAATTCTCATTGTTCAAATTTTTTTTAATTTATTTCTAGCAATAGTAGGTCAAGGTATCAGAAGTTCTTTACAGTATTTGTTTTCACATTGTATTTATAGCCTTTGGTTTCTGAAGAACAGTTACTAATATTGTGCAGTTTAAAAGGTTGAAGCTCCAATTTTCATTATTGCCGCAAGCAAAGAACACAATTTGAGTTCATAACAATTACGAACTTCTAGTGCGCACTCCAGGGTGTGCTGGATTGTGAGAGCTTGTAGGACAATTCAGGTTGGAAATCTTCTCAGGAGGTCTGTAGTCTAACCTTGTCGAAAAAGGGCCAGCTGAACTCAAGACCAGGTTGCTTGGGGCTTTATCCGTTTGGGTCTTGAAAACCTCCAAGGGTTGAGAATTCAGAGAATCTCTGGGCAGCCTTTTAGAAATGGCACATTTGACCTCTTTAAATGTGTTTTTGTGTTATGTACATTGTGCGGTGTATAGTTTCTAGTACTTTTCAGAATACTTTGATTCTGAGTTGTAGGATAAAATAGATTTTGTTCTGTTGTGCAACTTTACAGGTATAAAAGATGGCTTTGTAATTAGAGTATTCTGAGTCAAGGCAGAGCCTTTCTCTTGTAGGTTGCATTTGATCTGGGGATTCAGATATTAAATTTAAAATGGGATAATGATATTATTGCATAAGGATGTTGGGCTAAATTAGTACTTACAAAGCCCATTTAGATCTTTGGGGAGAAAAAAATCAGTAGGTAAGATGTACATGTTATAAGCTCTTGATGTTCCTTTGAGAGACATGGGCTTGTTTGGTAAGAACAGACAAGCCTTTATGACTTACCAGTTGTAAGACTTCTCCCTCCAAAAATTCAGACAAGTTATCGTCTAAATGTTTTTGTCATTGATCTGCTTTAGCATATGTTTGGATTGTGGTGTTACATCTGAGAAGATGGGATTGAGTAGCTTGGAAAGAAAAAAGATGGCAACCTTTTATCCTGGCTATGCTGTCTGACATTGTAATAAGTCACTATACTATTACAGGTCATATTTTGTTTGTTATGAGATGGGTGTTGAGGTAGGGTTGAATATGTGTTTGGAATTTCCCAGAGGACAATCTATTCATAGTCTTGCAGAAAAGGATTTTCTCCAGATGAGAGGTTTCTTCTTTACAAATTGAAATTGGACAAGAGAGTATCAGCCTCACATGCTGCTTTCTGAATGTGCTGGTAATGAACTCTGCCGAGATACTTTTACGCAACTGCCTCTTTGTTTTGTGATTTCAGTTTTGTGACTTGTCACCTTTATCCATTCTAATGCGTGTTCTAGGTATGTACTAGTATTACATATGAATACATCCATTTAAAAATAGTACTAGTCTGTGGTTCTTACAAGCTGAAATTTTACCTCTGAGTGTTTGCATCTAGAAAACTTCCTTGTTTTTAACAGAAAGCACTTTAGATTGCTGTGGTATTCATTTAAGCATGGACAATTGTCTTTATGACTACGAAGGAAAAAATTGTGTCTCTCCAATAGCTTAATTTTGACATCTTCTGATGCATATGAGTTGCCAAAGAATATCAGTTCATATCAATTTAGGGGTTTTGTTTGGTTGTTTTGGGGTTTTTTGGGGTGGTTTTTGGGGAATTTTGGGTTTTTTTTGATTCTTGAGTGCATATTGGGAAAGGTTGTTGAGAAAGAATTGCAGCCAGACATTTGAACTGACTTCTGATTTTCTAACAGTAAAGATCATCTCCGCTGTTCCTCAGTCACTGAGCTATGTGATACCTTTGCACAGTGATCACTGCAATAAATCAAGATAGTCAGAAAATAGCAGAGAGATTAATTTTCCATTAAATATGAAGTGGTGTGTTTTCATAACATGATATTTCTGACCAATATATATACACATATACTGATACAGAGGTCTGTGGTTTGGTGTGAAGGAAATTTTCTCATTATACTTTTGCTGTTTATTGTTAACCTCTAGCGATTCAGCACATACGATGTGTTTGATGTGGTGATACTGCACTGCGGTGGTCTCTTATCAAATTGCAAGAGAAGCAGCGTTTAAGAGAGAACTGGGCCTGGTCTTGTGAATTATTAAATTGCTCTTGTAGCTAAGACCTATTCTGGTAGCCTGTCTATTTGTTAGGAAATGGAAAAGAGGAGGGAACATATGAAGGGTCAATTAGTAAATGTTTATTGGTTCTTTTTTTTTTTTTGTCCAAGATAGGAAGCTGAACATTGTTCAAATTCTGAAGAGATAGAATTGATATGGACACAGGAATAATTAATACAGATCTGTTGCTTGCTAAATCAACAATGTTTTTTCAGCTTTTTGCTCTCTACTTCGAATAGGAATCTCTTACCCCTAGCTCCCAAACTGTGTGGACTGCATCATTGTACTTAGCTTTGTAGAAGCACAAGAGAAAAAGAGCTTTCACTCAAAAGAGCTTGCCATCTAGTTAGCGTCAAGGATGGAAACATACAGAAGGGATTGGAAGATGTGCACATGTTTTTCTCACAAGTTGGATTTTTTTTTTTTTTAATTTCGCGAAAGAGAACTAGGAAAGGATGAGGTCATGGCGGGGGGGAAAGAGAGTTCAGATGGTAGTCTGCTGGGTCCAAGAGCTGTGAAGGTATGGGAACTAGAAAGCTAAGAAAACAGGTAAGATTCTTCATGCTTTGCTGATTTTTGTCCTTTTTAGTATTTGGGAAGTTCTTGTTGCCATGCTGCAAGAAATCCTTTATGGTGGTAACCTTTTATGACTCTGAACACCTTCTTTGTGCTCCCATTGTGTATGAAAAACATTTCTACTGCTTTAGGAAGGGGGAAGAGATACGTGAATAACTGAAGTCAGTTAACATTGTACTGTATTTGAGCTTCTGAAAGCAGCATTGCAGTACAGGAGGTAACAAGTAACAATTTGGTGGAGGGCAGTCCTGAGAAAAGTACTGTAGTCATGTCTAGTTTTCCAGTATAATAATTAAAGTTTTCAAGTCTCACTCCAAGGTATGAACTGCAAGAAAAGCAAACAGACTGTTGCTTTATTCAGGAGATTTATTTTTTTCCAAAGACAAGATCTGTTTGTTCTTATTAGCTGCTGTTTTAATAATTTCTTATAATGCGAAATACTTAATTTTATAATGACCGAAATGTCATTTCTCCACACTTTTATCTAGCATTTAATCTTGAATGTAATCAGGTGATTAATTCACCTGAAAGTTTTGCCCAAAAAGCTTCTAGAAAGTAACATAACCAGGAGAAGGCTGATTTACCAGTGAAACTCGTGATAAAAAAAAAAGTTCTACACGTAAACCAGAACATTGGGTTGTTGAATGCAGGCTAATGAAAATATTTTCTCCTTGCCTTGAGCATCCTTGCATTTTGAGTAATGCCAATCCTTCCTTCTTTCCTAAAAACTCCATTGCATTGAATTACAGCTATTGAGAATTTTTTCTCAAATACTAAAGAGGTGTCAGTATGTCTTCCTCAGAAGAGTAGGACAAGTTTCACTGCTGTATAAAATGAAACTTCTAAAAGCTTATACCTGGGCCACGTGAGATTTTCTGTACACACCAGGAGACTGCATTTATTCCTTAACTTTTTTCTTCTTTTTTTTATGTGCACTAAGGCTGAGGTTAAGACTAAACCATTTATCATGGCTTCAGTCTTCTCTTGTGTTACATATATAGCAAAGAAAACTTGCAGCTTGTTAAAGCTACAAAATTTTCAGTCTCTTTTGTTCTGTAGATGTTAACAAATTAAAATGCAATATCTCTGACTAGAATGCATCCTTTTTTATATGTATTTTTAAAAGTAAATAGATTATACTAAACCAAAACATTTCTTTTTACATATAACTAAGCCTAGTACGTAGCTGCAAATTCCTCTGCCACCACAAAGCCAGTAATGTTAGACTAAAATGATGTGTCCTAGGAGGGCATCATGTCTGTAGGAGGGGCATAACAGGAGAGTCTTTGGTCCATATCTTTCAAATTTAATGGTGACAGTATCTTGCTGTATCTTTTTCTTCCTGACTTTCTTAGATTCAGTTTTTTAAGAGAGGGGAACCAATACAATCTTGAAGATACTGTAGTTTCTTCCTATATGTGCATTTTGCTTTATTTCCTCTGAACTATAAATAAACTAAACCTGTTTAATAACCTGGAATTAACGAGCCCTTTCGTTTTGCACTTATTTTGGAGATGGGTATGTGATTTTGCCTGTTTACCAACCAAGACAAACAAAAGCTGCCTCTTAACAGTTGTTTCTTCATAACTCATGCGCCTGCAGAACAGTGAGGATAAAAGTAGTTTGTTAAACTTTTTTTCCTTAATGGATCCAGTCCATCTAAATCAGCATATTTCCATTGATGATAAACCTTTGACTTACTAACCTGAGCAAGACATTAAAATAACTCCCCAGATACTAGACTTTCCAAACTGAAGAATCGATTGTTGCTGTGCTACTTGCATTTTGTGCCAAACAGGCACATGCTAAAAATGTCTTCTCCAGTTTGTTTTGATTCTTGTACTTCCATGCTGCTGTACTAGCATCACATAAAAATACAGTTGTAAACTCATCAGCCCTTCAATAAAAAGGTTATTTTGTAATGCAGTTTCCATAAATATTTTGAGAAAATTGAAAATTGAGAAGGGTGATAGCTAATGTTGTCTCTTCTTAAATCTGTCTCAGAACTGCAATAATTGGTTTTTTAATTGAGCATTAGAAAGATTGGTGCAAAACTTCAGATTTCTTTCCCATACAGTAATATTGCTTCCACTGACATTAAAAATGTTTCCTTACTCTTTCTCATTCTTGCCATGAGTAAATGATGAGAAACATATTTTGTCAAAGAAGTTCAGCTTTGCAGAACCTAATGGTGCTGTTTCCTATGCTCAGATAGAAATATTGTGGGCTGTTGGAATTAGATGAACAGCAATAATAAAGTCATCATCAAATAAACTTTGTCGTATAGAATATCTGATTAATATGCATCATTTATGAGTGTTAAGAACTTATTTCTGTGCATATTGTTAATATATTACACATTCTCATCTGTCGTAGAATAGCATGCACATCTGTCTGTATGCATTTGTGATATTTGTATTACAGTCTGGTACTGAAAGTTAATAAAATGCTATATTAAATATGATTAAAAATTTTAAACATCATTCAATGCTGTTTCTCTTTAACTGCAGACCCTGCTACATGGAAAAATGCAAGACACCTTTCTAAAGGTTGCCTTTATCCACTTGCTTTTTCTCCCTATGCATAAAGTGCATGCTTTTATACACTAACCACATACATTTCATGCCACTTTATTGTTGATTACACTTTTGTTTTTACACGTTGACTACTCTGTTTATTGATTATTTTGCTGAGTCTGGTGATCTGGTTGATTTTTAGTTTTCTGACCTTGTTGCATTAGAATGAGATGATATTTGCTTTTCTTCTGTACCATTGCTGCTTCATAGAATTTCCTGCACTTCTAATTCCCAAATCCTTTTTAAAAAAAAATCTCTATTGATCAGTATCTTGAAATTCGACTTGAGTGGAAAAAATGTTTTGAAACATGACTTGATTGTAGGTAAGCAGTGTGTTTGCCAAATGGCCAGATTTCTTGTAGACTATTCTTCTAGAGCAGATTGCTGTATTGTGGAGCAAACAAAAAAAATGGAAGTGGAACTTATCACTAATACTTGGAAACCTAGTTGTGGAAGTGTGAGTATCAGTGTGACTCAAACTGCTGCCTGCCCTACGAAGCAGGAATTGACAAAACCTCCTTTGCTGTTTCTGGGACTGCTCTTGATAGCCCCCAAGTAATTCCAGACATCAGTGGTGACTGACAAGGGTTAAGATGTTTGGTCCTTGACAGATTTGGGAAGAGACATGTTCTCCTAAGACTTCATTGTTATGCAGAATTCTTATGTATTTTCTGTTTGCTTGGTTTTGGTTCTACAGGTTTTTCTAACTTTTTCTTTCAGCTGTAATTTGATCTCACTTGCATGGTAAAAGAAAAGATGTTAAAAGCTGGTATTATTTTTTCGGTTTTTTTTAAGCTATTGCTAATAATTTTTTTGTTTTCTGTTGCAAGCTGATATTTAATGGACTAGACTATTTCTGAAAAATGGCAGGATAGCTGATTGGCTCAGTCACAATTAGGAAGGTGGACATTGTGTAAGACAGACAAAAAGAGTAATGAGATGCAATGTTTAAATAAGCAGAATCACAAATTATTTGTACTGAGCTATTTTAACATCTAGCCATAGAAAGCAGATGTAATTTTTCTCTTGCTGCTTGGAAAAAAAACCAAAATCACATTGTAGTTTTCAACAAACAAGCTCTCAGAAAAATGTCACTGAAACATCTACTTCCTCTTCCTCATGTGTCAGTTCTTTTTTTTCAGAGATAGATGCTGAAGAGTGGGGTAAATTTCTTCACACCAAAAATAAGGTATGTTTACTGTGATGATGGAGTAACAGTGTCATAAAGATACTATCGTATATATACTTAATTCTGTTACTCTTCCCTTTATTTTCCCAAAAAGGAGATTATTCTGCCTGCTATACTATATGCCAGAGTATTGAGGATTTTCTGGTTTGCTTTTTATGAGTAGAAAACTTCTGCAAACATTCTTTTAAACTCAAGACAGAAAGATTATCAATGGTTGTATGTTGTGTGGGTCATTGACTCTGCTGAGTTATTTATCTTAATCCTTTTTGTGTTATTTTGTTGATTTTTCTTTTTTGTGCATTGGTGAAATTAGAACAGACATTGCAAAGACAAGGGAGTGTACAATCACAAGTCATTTCAGTCCACTGAAGAATTGGCAACTTCAGAGATTATTAGAAAGCTATGAAACGGAAAGAAGAGCCTAATGTGCATTGGGGGTGAAGCAGAGGCTGAGGTGACATAGGACTTCAGTAACAGTCAAAACTTAATCCTTTGCTTGAAGAAAGTAATCTTTTTGTTGGCAGATGAACTATTTAAGTATTTATTACTTTAAATTGATTTCCTCACCTTCTAGGCAGTGCTAGAAATTGAAGGAAATCTAGAGGAATGCATCGGGAACCTGTGCAAGGGTAGCTCTGTGCTAACTTATTTGGGATTGGTGGAAGGAGAATAGTTTTGACAAGAGTGGAAAAATTTTGAAATTAAACTCTGTCCTTGTACTTCGTCCTTTTTGAGATGAGAAGATTCAGGGTACATATTCTTTATTAACGTAAAAGGACTGCAACTAGATTAGAAATGGAATCAAGTGTTTGAAATTCTCTTTTGGTGAACATTCTTTTATACCTTGTCTGATATTGATGGGGGTAATAATTATTATTTTGCAATTGTGTGTATGGATGCTGTCTTTGATTTTTAAACAATTTTTTTCTTCTGTACTTCAGATCTATACAGATTTTGATGAAATTCGTCAGGAAATAGAAAATGAAACTGAGAGAATTTCAGGAAATAATAAGGTAAATATTGCACTGTCCGTCTTTGTCTTCTTGTAGATTCTCTTGCTGCTTAAACCTCTCTTAAACAGTTTTGGCAGCTAGAAGTGAAAAGCATTGAACTATTCTAATGAAGAACACAGTAATGCTGCTTGCTATCTTGAGATTTTTTTTTTCACTGTGCTGCTGAGATAAATTACTTCAGCTAAGAGAAAATGCAGAGAATTGCTGTTGCTTTACTTCAAAACTTCCATAATAATAGTGCAAAAAGTAAACTTTAAGTTAAACTTGCTTCCGTTCTTCCACATACATGGCTTTATGTGTAGTTATAAAGTCGAGTATTCTGTTTTACATATCTATATAATCACTGAAATATAAAAGTTTCTATGCGTTATACTGAGGAGGAAAGCAGGGCTGCTTCCAAAGACAAAGGAGTTGGTTGACAGAGGTGGCTGGCTTTTTTTTCCTCACCACATAGTTGTAAAGTGTATGAAGGAAGAACGTTTTTCTAGTATAAAACTACAGCTTTTGGCTTTCTAAAGGTTGCATTTAAATAATCCAGTACAGTGATTCATTTTCATTATTAATGTATTTCTAGGGGATCAGTCCTGAACCTATTCATCTTAAGATTTTTTCATCTAATGTTGTAAATCTGACTCTTGTGGATTTACCTGGAATGACAAAGGTAAGATGCAGCATGCTTCTTTTCTGACTCACTGTGAACACTGTATTTTGAAACAAGGAGTGTATGTTTACTCTTTGGCACTATTCTGTATTGTTAGATAAACAGCTTTCCTAGTGTTAAGTAGTTGGTTATATAAATTCGAGATGTCACTATCTTCTGGTATAAGATTTACTGATGCTTTTCACTGTTTTAAGAGGTAGATGTGCTTAAGTTCTTCCTCTCTCTATATACGACTGAGGGATTGGAAGCATGCGGGCTGCATGCTCTTTTTGATAGAAGAGGTGGCGCTCAAAGTTTCAAAGTTGTACCTGCAGATACATAGGTAGTTGACAAGTTTGCAAATGTTTTCACCATTGCTTCTCCAGAAGTTGCTATGCATATTTTGCATAAGAAGTTGTTTAAAGTGAGGATAAACTAGAAGAAACATTCAGGTCCTGTTTGTTCAGGATCTATACTGAATAATTTTCTGCAGGACGAAGATGACAAGATGACTTCTTTCCCTGCCTGTGCATACATACGTACCCTACTCTGCCAGTTGTGCAGGTGGTTCTTGGATACCAAGTCTTCTGGACAACAGTGTTAAATAATTTGAATTGATGCTTATTTGTGTAGGAGTGGTTTTGATTTTTATACCCTTCAAGATCTTCCTTTTCTTTCTTGTTTGTTTGAAGGGGGAAGGAAAGGGCTGGAAAACTTCATCTTATACCGTGGTATAGGGTATGAACTTTCAATGAGTGGTCCCACACAGGCATAAATATACCATTGTGACCAGTTCCATGTTGTTTTTTCTCTAGGTGCCTGTTGGTGATCAGCCTAAGGACATTGAACTTCAAATAAGAGAGCTAATCCTTCAATTCATCAGCAACCCAAATTCAATTATTCTGGCAGTCACAGCTGCTAACACAGACATGGCCACGTCAGAAGCACTTAAAATTGCACGGGAGGTGGATCCAGATGGTAAGCAGCATGAAAAACTGGATCCTGTAATTCAGCTTCTTTTTTAAGTTAAATCCTAAAATGGAACTGAAGTCGTCTGGGAAAAAAGTAGTAAGAAAAATAAATGTTACTGCATTTCCTAGAAAATACAATTATTGTATTTGCTTAAAGACTTCCTGCTGCATCTCTGCAACTCTGAGAATGCTGTGATGAATTAATATCTAATAGATTTCTGGCTTACAAACAGGCCAAATAACTATTTTAGAAGTCGCAGGAACCACTTCTGTTTCCAGAGCAGCAAAATGGTATTACAGGATGTTGGGGGTTTTGAGATTTTTAGTAGTTTACAGTGGTCTGTTAGGATGTTGTCCAATGTTGTTTCTTCTAGTAGAGAAAACATGCCATCCTGCAGCTAGTAATTGACTGTCTAGCTGTTAGTGTCTTTTAGTAAGAATAAAATTAATATATACTGTCAGTGTCCATTTTCATGCCCTGCACTTATGTGACAGAGCTGACTAATTTGATTTAATCTAAAAAGAGGATTACAATTTTTTATTTACCTAATGATTTCAAAACAGATCTGAAGCTACTGGGTACCTGCTTCTTGATTATGGAAAGTGCTATCAGTGCCATTGACTAATAAATGGCATTGTGTGATCTGAAAGAATATGGAAGAGTATACTTGGAAAATAGGTATATTGAAATTCAGCTAAAATTTAGTGTTGGTATGCTTTACCCTGAAATTTTTTTTTCTCAAACTGTAACATTTCTTGATTCTTTTTGAACCTCGAGTCTGCTTTGGCCTGTCTGCCTAAGCCTTATAGGTTCCACAGACACGTAACCTCGAGGGAGAACCTTTTCTGGCCGTCTTCTCAGTCAAGTTGTCCTGGTTCAAGGCAGCAGACCCTTTCCTTTTAATTTACCCCTGTAAAAATGAACAGCTGTGACTTTGGCTCACTTCCCAAAATTCTACACCTTAAAGGTCTGGAGTGGCAGCTCATGATGCAGGTTCTGTAGGGATAATGGTAGGTAATGAAAACTTAAAGTACTAAAGTAGGTAGACTCTCTGACTTTCATTCATCTGAAAGTTTCAAAACCCAAGAACCTAGTGATTTCACTGAGGTACTGGTTTAAAATATAACACACTTTTTGAGTCTAAAAATAAAGAAAAAGTTCTTGCCATGTTTTTTTCAGACCTAAGAGCCCAGGAAATATTATGGTCCCAAACAAATCCTGTGTATGTTAGCCTCCTAGCTGTTTAGATGTGCAATACTTACCTATTTAATGAGTTTAGGTCGCTTTTTCCTCCTCAGTGCCCAGTATGAAGCTTAGTTTTAGTTTAGAAAACATTCAGTCATGTATTCAATAGAAATATGTTTCATTAGTAAAATTAAATCCCCTAAAGCTTCTTCAGTGTATGGATTTCAAGCTGTTTAGTGTCTTGGGGCTTCCAGCTATGTATCTGATGCACTATGTTGGAAGTGGGCCTGGTGCTTCCTTTAGCAGCTTCTCCAGTGGGTAGTGGTATTTCAAATACAATTCCAAACAGATTGCCATTACATCTGGTCCTACATATATATTAGAAATATGTTCAGGCCACTCACCCTTGCGAGTCCTCTGCCTGTCTTACTTTGTCTTCTCCACAAGTGCTTAGTAACACCTCTAACCTCATGTAGTATGCAAAAATGTTTGTTGTAATCAATAATGACTATAATTTCAAACTGCATGGTGCCTGAACCTTTTTCTTCAACCAGATCTGTGTGGGGAGCAGTACCTGCCAAATACTTTCTTATACTCCCGTTAAAAAGGGATTCCAGATAGACTAATACCACATCTTGTGCTAGTCTTTGCTGGTTTGCAGTATTAAACTTCATGCAGCTGTCCGAGGAACTTTTTGAATGATGAGTTTTAGCTACCTTGATCAAGACAAAACAACCCTCTAAGTTGTGTTTACCTTTTGGTAGGTCGAAGAACCCTTGCTGTTATCACAAAGCTGGATCTCATGGATGCTGGCACTGATGCTATGGATGTGCTAATGGGAAGAGTGATTCCAGTCAAACTTGGCATCATTGGAGTAGTGAACAGGTCTGTCTAGGCACATTGATGCTATTTTTAAAACTGTGTTAATACAATGTAATGCTTTCGGCTTTTTTAACCATGAATATGATTTTAAGAATAAGGTGACTTGATGTTGATTCTCAATAAGCAACTGAGAACCTTCTTGCTCATTTTTCAAAAGCCTGTCTGTTCTTCTTTCACTCAATAAACTGCTAGTTTAGAAAGGAGTAGGGACACTTTTTCTGTCCACTGTACTTTTTTTTTAGCTTGAGAGATGCTTCTAGTCAACTGTTCACATTAGCACTGGTGCAGTACAGATCTTGTATATATTAGTGCTAACTGCATATGGCTATAGTACTGTTCACTTTATTTTTTGCATTAGCTAGGTCAAATCTCATGTAGTTTTGATGAAAGCTTGCTTAGTCTGTGTACAGCTGCTACCCATGCTGATTTGTTGACTATGCTACATGGAACAACAAATAAAACCCTTTATTGTCTAAGGAAGATGAGTTACATGTGTAAAGCAAAAACCAGCTGTTAGATGTCCTGTCCAGAAAAGCAGAAGTGTAAATTATTTTTACTTTGCATCTATTAAGTACTGTGTCACTCTGCCTTTTAACTTAAGGAGTCAGTTGGATATTAACAATAAGAAGAGTGTAGCTGATTCCATTCGTGATGAGTACGGTTTTCTTCAAAAGAAGTATCCTTCCCTAGCCAATCGAAACGGAACCAAGTATCTTGCTAGGACACTAAACAGGTATTACATATTATATAAAATAAAATAAATGTGTGCTTTAAAAGATACTTTAAGATATAAATTGGTGTGTTAGAAATATGTGTAAACATTTATTTTTACCTTTCCTTTCTCTTTTGGTGCTGTACAGTGATACGCTAAGGAAGACTGTTTGGTTCCAAATTCAGTTTCTGAATTTACTGTAATTTTCCTGAGTAAATGTTTTCCTTTGTTGATTGTTTTCTGTCTCTTCTCTGTTTTGATGGAGATGATAAAGCTGAAACTTTTCTTCCCTTCTAATGAGGGACTGTTTTCTATTTTTAGACTACTGATGCATCATATCAGGGATTGTTTGCCAGAACTGAAAACCAGAATCAATGTTTTAGCTGCTCAGTATCAGTCTCTACTAAACAGCTATGGGGAACCTGTTGAGGACAAAAGTGCCACTTTATTGCAGCTTATTACCAAATTTGCCACAGAATATTGTAACACTATTGAAGGAACAGCAAAATACATAGAGACTTCAGAGCTGTAAGTACTGAATGGTTTTCTAGAATATTGACTGAGCAGTTAGATTGACCCAGTGGCTCTTGCTGGCTTTCATTGGCAGTAATACTACACTGGAGTGCAACATATTCAAAAATGTTTGAATCCAAGTAACTGTAAAAAATGTTTGCAATGAGAGCTTTTCTCTTGCTTGCTACTTGAGTTGTTATTTTATTCTTTCAGATGTGGTGGAGCCCGAATCTGTTACATTTTTCATGAGACCTTTGGAAGAACTTTAGAATCTGTTGACCCACTGGGTGGCCTTAACACAATTGATATTCTGACTGCCATTAGAAATGCTACTGTGAGTGTTGTTCTGTATTTTTAAGTGGTGTTGCTATATATTGGATTTGAAGATAAGGTTTCAACAAATTTGTGCTCCTTCAGTCTTGTGAATTAATGATCTCAGCTGAATGAGTTAATATGAAGAGGCTGAATCCTGCGTTTTGGTATGTTAAGTGGAAAAATTACAATATCCAGATTTGCAGCCATTATCCTATAGGGAATGAGTTTGAGGTGAATGCTTGCATCTCATTACTGTTATTTACAAGCTGAAATAGAGCTTGGGCCCAGCTTTGGCAACCCTGTGCTGAAGCTATTATATATTACAGAAATGGTGATGGAAGACTGCCTCTGCATTTATTTTGCATTAAGCACTTCTGTTAGTTATGAAGACTCAGTCTGAGATGTATGGGCTAGGACACATTCAGATATTTTAATTCTATATAAGGGACACAGCTCTTCAACAGTTCAGTGTTTACGTGACAGATTTGGTTTCTTGTGAATATGGGAATTGGTGTTGCTAAGAATTAACAGAGTAAGTTCACTTTTCCATTTTGTAGTATATAGAATGTTCACTCCTTAGAGCTTGACTTTGGGTGTCAAACATGTAAGCCTGCTTTTGTACTGTGTTCTGCTGGGTGTGGACAGAAAATCGAGTTTCTGCATGGTCAATAATTACTCAAATTGGAGCGTATTAGGTGCTCTATAGCAATGATCTGTGTGCATGCTCTTACCCTTCTGTAAATGCAAAATGTAAAACAGTATTTAGTAACAGGAGAGATGTCTTGTTTTTATTTGACATATCACATCTTTGTGTTTCTAAAACTCATTTAATTAAAAATTAATTAAATTAAAATTATTTAATTTTTCTAAAAAAGGAAATTTCAGGTAAAAAATGTTTTATATATAGCTAAGCATTGGTCTGTATGGTCATAAATGAAATTATCCCAAACAGTCTAAATCACAGACACTGTATTACGATTATACCTAACAGAAAACCCACCTACCTTGCACTAAGAATTGTATGGCCAGGACTGTCAAGTAACTTTTCTGTCTGAAGTTAGGAAGAGAATATCTTTACTTTTGTAATAAATGTCATTTAAACTTGGATCCCCAGATGTGAAAAGAATTGTTCATAGTTGTAAGCCTAGAGTGACACTAGTAGGTAGAAATCTTAAAGATTCTATGAGGATGCTGGTTACTCATTATTTAACACAGAGTTTGTCTCAAAGGTAATAACTTTATAGCTTTGCTGTTTAAATATTCTTGTAACATATTTTACTCTTAAGACCTGCTCTGAGTGTTCTTTTGGGTGCGAGCACTTCTTAGACATGCGCATTGTTTTAATACAAATTTAGCAGCTTTTTGCCTCCTTTTGAACTAGGGTCCCCGCCCTGCCTTGTTTGTTCCTGAAGTTTCATTTGAATTGCTGGTAAAAAGGCAAATCAAACGTTTAGAAGAACCTAGTTTGCGCTGTGTGGAGCTGGTTCATGAAGAAATGCAGAGGATTATCCAGCATTGTAGTAATTACAGTACACAGGTAAAAATGCATATTTTAGAATTATGTTTGTAATTATTGGGAGTTTTTCCCCCCACTTCCCTAAAAAAATTCTGGGACTCTCATCAGTAAATTTTTGTTTTGTTTTTAGGAATTGTTGAGGTTTCCTAAATTGCATGATGCCATAGTTGAAGTAGTAACCTGTCTTCTGCGTAGAAGACTTCCTGTCACAAATGAAATGGTAATTCTCTACTATAATTTTGCTGGAAAAAGCGTGTGTTTTCTGAAGTCTTTCTTGATGCTTCTGTTTACTCTGTAACATTTGGAACTGAAATTATTAAAGGAATCTTATATTTGTTAAATAGCTAGATATTTAATATCTACATGGTTTGAAACTTCTATATTAGAAGATAGATACATAAAAACCAAAAAGGTAGGGGGAACCCTCTTCAGCTTATGGTCCCCTATGTTTCAGTTTCCCAAGAAGAATTTTACTAAAACTTGGATTTAACATCTCGTAGTCTTTCTGATATAGGTATATTTCCCTCCCTTCTAACAGAAGCTGTGCAGTTACTGTAGAGTCCAGGATGCAATGATGAAGATTGAATTATAGTCCTTATTCCGTGTGTTTTGGAGATAAAATCAACGCAAAATGTTGATTTTGCTTGTAATGCCCTCTAGCTAGTGAGAACTAAAAATTCAACTTCTGGCTTTGAATAAATGTGTTTTAATATAAAAGTCTGTTTTGGGCTGTTTACTAGGGAGAAAACAAAGTGTTTCAGTTATTGACTCTGTGTATGTTTGATATGAAAAGCAAAAATTGTCCTCTATGCTCACTATCCCCCGTAGTGAGCCACCTCTCACTGGTTCAAATGTTTTATGTGGCTTGTGGCTGAAGGTTGACTATATAGCTTACACTTACTAAATTGCTGAGTTTTGATTATTTATTTCTGGAGAGAGGTTAGCTTGATGAAGCTAACAGGTTAAACTGATGTAACATCCAAAATGGCTGAAGGTCCGAATGTATTGCAATGAATGAATGAATGTCCTTCCTGCCTTCTGGATCAGAACTTTAATGTCTTTGGGGCAGTAGGAACGGGCTTTTGATACGGACAGTTAGATTATGATTTCTAGCACTGTAGGTCATTGCTCTTCACTAGCATTAGATTAACTCACTGAATTTTTGAACTGTGAATGACATTGCATTGCAGGTTCATAATCTAGTGGCCATTGAGTTAGCTTATATCAATACTAAACATCCAGACTTTGCTGATGCCTGTGGCTTAATGAATAACAACATAGAGGTAAGAAAATAAATTCTCTTAAATTTAAAAATCTTTTGACTCCTTTAAGTGAGAGCCTAAATAATTAGTAAAAGAACAAATGCTTCAGTTTCTTTCGCTGAAGCAAGGCTCTACACTTTGAAATACAAAAATGTGATATATTACAATTATGGTGTCTACTTTTATCTTGTGATCTGTTGATTTGTTACATTTATATTGCATATTAAATTCAGGAACAGTGGTTGATATTTCACTGAAAACAATTCTGCCTGTATTTCTATCTGGAAGATAAGATGGGCATCTAATTGAGTATTGGCTATTAAATGAAATTTTTAGAAGAGAAACTTTAAATAGATGTGAAATACTCTTTAGTGTTGAAGTAACTGCGTTTTGTCTCTTGACAGAATGAATCAATAGCTACAATGTTGCTATCATTCTTGAAAGGATAATACAAGTATTGTTTCCTCTATTCAGGTTCTAATTTCTTCTTCCTTTCAGCATTGTTCTTGAATCTCTGTGTTACCACACTTCAATCTGCCTAAGACAGTTTTCTCCGTCAATCTCCCATAAGCCTTTTACAATTTCAATAGTCTGTTTTTTTCAAGCCCAGCTTTGATTGATAATACTTGTTGCTATCATCATCCTATAGAAGCAGTTGTTCTACAACTGATCTGCTCATTCTTTCTTGCAATCTGATTTTGTTGCAGTACTTCATCCATCTGGATGAGATCTCAGGAATATTCTTGTGTTCCTCTGCTTATCCAACGCATTCTTTTGTAGTAGTGTTCTTTTTTTAAGTGCTTATGTTATCATTTCTGCTTTTTTAGTTCTAACCTTTTACTTTCTGCTATACATAACTTTTGTATTGACTGGGTACACAATTGAATTTGCCTTGGTAGACTGCTCTTGAATCTAGTTCAGAAACAATGTGCGTGCAAATTGCCATGAGTACAAAAATTAGGACTTTGTGAAGTTGAACATATGAGATTATTGTATTATCATGTGTTACTTAAACTAGTTCTTTCCCATGAACAGGACATTGAAATTTTTGAAGAAGCAAAGAACGTAAAACATCTTATCCTTATTCAGTGGACAATCAATTCTTAATTTCAAGGAAAATCAGATCTTTGTTTGTCCTGATTGCTTCAAAATCTGTTTTGCTATAAAGTGAATTCTGCATCCTCCTTCCTTTTGGGCTAATCACAGTTAACCCTGCTGGCTGTAGAATCAAATCCTTTTGGATTACTCCAAAGATTTAAAGCTTAATGAGGGCTGTAGGATATCTATGCTGAGCCAAACTGTGTAGCTTTGATTTTGTTTTTTAAAGGCTCTAGTTTTGATAAAGTTTTGCAAAAGTTTTTATATTGACAATTTACTTTTGACCAGGTAATCAGAGTAGTTTTATCCAAATAATTGAGATTTTCATAGGATTATAGTTTGACTACATGACAGTGGATGAGATGAAATTACTAGTGTTTGTCTCTAAAGCCTAAGTCATCTGTAAAATTCAAATCTTGCATATGTGTTGATACAGAGTAATACATAATTGAGGTCTTGCTGGATTGTTTTTAAAGGAACAAAGGCGTAACAGGTTAGCCCGGGAATTGCCTTCTGCTGTGCCACGAGACAAGGTAAGTAAATGTTAATTTTTATTTATTTATTCATTTCAAGTTTAATGCACTCTCCTTTGATCCAATCTAAGTATTGGGAACTTTGATATGCTGCCCTAGTAACAGTCCTGGGGGCTTCCAGGTGTTGGCTTTTTTCTTTCAATTTCATAAGATAGAAGTGGAATGTTATTTTCTTCTTCCAAAGATGCAATTTTTGGCAGGTTTTTAATCTGGGATTTCTAAAGACTTGCCTATAAATTCACATTAATATTACAGTTATTACCTGAATATCATCTGAGGTTAGTCTTAAAATGCCTGCAGAAGTTAAAAATGGAGTTAGAACTTGCATGCTTAAATTTATGGCTGAGATACAAAACAAAAACCATCACCAAGTCACTATGTTGGCACACTGAATATTTTAAATCACTTGTTTGTCTTTTGAAATGTGTGTAAGTCACTCTTAAGACTGCAACTTACCGCAGTCTTGCTTTCTTTGGGAGAAGATGGTGGAGGTGACGTTTTCACTTAATTGTCATAATCAGGTCATGTATTCTGTCTCTGGAGCTTGCTTAGCTTTACCAGGTTTTGGAATTAGTTCAATGACAAGTAAGTATATGTGTGGAAGAAGCAGTGCCATGGAAAACATTACCTGGCTGTAGAAATGAATGGTCTGACAATCAGCTGGAATTTTAGACAGTTAGATATTTAATATTACGTGAAGTATTTAGAATCCAAATATACACAGTATAGTTGAAGCTTCTCACAGGTTGTAACAGGTGTTACTACAACTGACAGAAATTGGTTCATTAAGTTTGTTAGCTTAAAAAGTGAGAAGTCCCAGAATGGATATTACTACCTTTAATCAGTAGAAGCTGAGTGAGGAACTGGGAATTTAAGGTAGTATCTAGAGATTGCTTTCAGTGCTCTTTGGTCCTTCTTTTTATTGACTTCGTATTTATATCATTAGTGTAGGAGCTGCAATGAAATTGAAGGCCAGATAAGCCAAAAGTCTCTTAACTGTCTTGGAGATGCTTTTTTTTTTTTTCTTTTTTTCCTGCTTATATGACTGTTTTGCTTGCAAATTAAAAATATTTTCTTTTCTGGATTTTTAAAGATGCTAATAGGTAAAAGTGTATGAAATTTGCTAGGTAGATTTGGTGGTGTTCAGTTGAATTACTTTTTTTTTTTTTCCCCTCCCTGCATTTTTTACCTTCCTTAGTCTTCTAAAGCTCCAGGTGCATTGACACCTGCTTCCCAGGAGACTGTTACTGCTGCTTCTGCTGAGGCTGATGGCAAGGTCTGTCTTGATTTTTCCTATAAGCACTGCATGCACATTTCTGTTGTGGTGTACCACAGATAGTACAGAAAGCAGTTGTATTTAGTGTTCTGTCACTGACACAGTATGCACTACAGAGTATAGACTACTTAGCATTACTGATTTTAGTATGTGCAGTGGCAGGTAAAGATGTGCCATTAGGTGGCAAAGTCACTGCTTTCTGTTTGAACTCTTGGTTGCAATAGATTGTGGTGCAAGTATGCAGCATCGTTTGCCTCAAACTGTAGTCAGTAGATTGTTTGGTGCAACAGTACTGTCATCGAAAGTGTTCAGCATGGTTGTTAAACTGCATGTTTTTAATGTGTTGACAGTTAAAGAAGGAGGACAGAAGATAAGCTAAAAATGTGAGTTTCCTGCTTCCTGCAGGGAATCTTTATAGGCTTTGTTCAAACTGAACCTCCATTTTTTCTTTCACATAATCGTTCAATCCCTGGTTTACTTATATTCATGAAATGTGTTCTGCAGTGGGTTTTTTTTTACGCTTCAGGTGTGCTGCCTCTCATGTTAAAATAACCACTCATTACTGTAAAGACTTTTTTGCTAACTGCTTTCACTTGGAGTCAGAAAAGATGGGTAGTCACAAGTTTGTGTATTAGGAGTACCAAGAGGACTTAGGTTTTCTGCTTCATTGCATAAGCACATTCAGCTTGTGGTGCAAAGGTGCCATTTCTGTCCTGAGTGAAATAGTTGAAGTCAGAAATCTAGTCAGTAGTAGAATTTTAACTATTATTTTCATCAGAGTTTTAGAGGTTCTGATACTCTGCAAATGTTAAAAAGAAATCAAGAGCAACTGTGAGGATACTGTTGTGACTTAAGAAGTTGCAGGAAGCTGCCAAATTTGGTTTAATTTGTATTTCCTACAAAATCTGTCCTTTATTAGGTGGAACATACTCAACACTCTTTTTCTTGTGAAAGAATGTAGCTTTGTTTCTGAAACTGCTTTGGAGATAGAGCCGGCTCCACAGCAGTGCTGAATTAGAGTGGCAGAGGGATTTTTGCCGTTTTGAATAGCTGTCTTGCAATCAGAAATCATGTAATGGAGCTTTCCTCATCAATGGTTCTCTCTTATTAGCAGAGGTTGATTTGAATTCTTATAGTGTATTTTTTACAAAACTTCTAAACAATTGTGCAATTTTAATAAAATTTCTGATTTGCACAGTTTAGCTGGATTTCCTCCTAGTATGCAACTGTTGGTATTCTGTTTGCCATGCTTTGTTTCTGACTCTCTTTTTTTCAGACTCAGGATCAGCCTGTGGTGTTTTAATTGTAAACAGAATAGATAAATTTAACTTATTTCATCCTATATCTGAAACAAGACATAAGTAGTAGTAGTAGTAGTTCAGAACTTTGAATGACCTTGAATGTTTTTCAAACAGCAATATATTTTAGAGAACAGTAGTAGATAGAACGGATACTAGGCTTATGGGAGGTACAAAATAAAAATTACCACTGTTCCACATCAAAATAAACTGCTTTTGGGTAGTGGTTGTTGGGGTTTTTTTGTGTTTGTTTTTTTAATACTAATTTAACATGTGGTGGATACCATTTATACTAATATTTCTTTTGTCCAGTGATTCCTAATGTTTAAGACTCGGGTGTTATGTCCTTTTCTCAGGAGATCAGTGAGTCGTTCTTTGTCTAGAACTTCCCAGAAACTCTGATTTTTCACTTCCAGAGGATGGAGTTTTTTGTTTTGATTTAGTACAAACAAGCAAGCGCCTTCTGTAAATTGAGGTCTGGCAGCACAAATACATTTGTAGATGTGGTACCCAGAAACATAAATGTGCATATTTTTTAGCTGTTATTGTAAGAAACTTCAGTTTATATTTAAATAAAATACCAAAGAATTTAAATTCAAGTCTTCCAAGAGCTGTGGTGATCTTCAAAACATACGTTCAGAATGATCCTGATGGTATAGATTGTATTGCTCCAAGGATGTATGGTAAAAGTGGTAACAGCCAAATGATTTAGGAAGACCATTCCATATTTCAGAAGTGATTTGTAGACCCTTAAAATGCTGGGAAGCTTCTCTATGTGAGGCATTTTCATACCAATATTAGGAAGAATAAGAGTTTTAAAAGCTTTCATTTTATTGGTACGTTGTGTCAGATGTAAGCAGCAAAGGGATAACAAAGGTGGGGAATGTGAAGAATAGAATGAATATATGTATGAAAATCTCATTTTTAGTGAGTCTTACCTGTAGCTCAGTAATAGTAGATTTGCTCAGACACTGCTTTGCAGTGCCCAAGTCTTAATTCTCCAATGTTTCTTCCCTGTGCTGTTTGTGCAGGCTGCTCCTGGAGTGGGAGATACGTCTCAGGAGCCTGGAACGGGCAGCTGGAGAGGAATGCTCAAACCCTCTAAAGTGGAAGAGGTACTGACAGAGGAAAAACCCAAGCCAGCTGCTGCCCTGCCTGCTAGTCCTCAAAAAGGACATGCTGTAAACCTATTAGATGTGGTGAGTCATGAAAGACAAATACCTCCTCTTCGTACTTCAGGATCAGGAAAGAAAAATACGTGAATTCCAGGTCTTGTAACTTTGCTACTAATATATGATATCTTTGTAAATAATTACCACTATAGGGACAGGGAGCTCTAGCCAGTCTCTTCTGCTTTCCTGCTTGCCCAGTCCTTCATCTTTCCTCCCCCTCCAGTTTCAGCCCATGATTTGGGATAACTGGCTTCCTTTCCCAAATTCCTGTGCAAGTGAACTCCTTGTCTAGATTGTTCTTTGTACAGAAACAAATCTCAGCTCATGTCTTAACTCAAATTCCTGTCTTTTTTGCTGAAGTTGGCATTTTTATATTAGAGGAAAAGAATCATTAAAGACCAAACTCACTTAAGTTAAAAATAGATGGAGTTCCTTTAAGAGTTTGGAGAGCTTAGTTCCTTTAGTGAGCTTTTAAAAAAAATTTAGTAGTGGTGCCCTCTGACCTTGGTTTCACAGATCTGGATTTTGACATATCTCTAATTTTATTTATGAAGAATTAGAGAGTTGTTGCAAGACAGGTCACATCTATCAGGCTATCAGACTGAAAGAGCAATAATTTATTTTAGACTCCACAGTTCAAGTTTTATTTACTTATGCAAATGAGCAGAATTGGTAAACTGAGATTTTTATTTTTTTACATAGCCTGTACCTGTTGCACGCAAACTTTCTGCCCGTGAGCAACGAGATTGTGAAGTGATTGAACGACTTATTAAATCTTACTTCCTTATTGTCAGGAAGAACATTCAGGACAGGTAAAACAAAACTTCCTAGAAATGCTTAAGCTATACAAATGTTGTGATATCTCAAGAGTCATTTATGTAATCTTGTTATTCTGTCATGTTCTTATGTTTGTAAGCAGAGAGAAAATACGTTTGTTTTTTTTTTTTAAGAAGGGGCAGCAGAAGTAAAACTTGACCTTTCACAGAATTAAGAAACCTGAAGAGGCACTTGTTTTCTCTAATGGTGTGAGTTCTGTATTATATAAAGTAAAAGGTTTAATTATTTAGGAGATACCTGATTTTCTGGAGGATACTGCAGTTTAGGTGCATGATTGGCAGCAAATAACTGGAATGAAATCTAGGTGCTGTGTAGCTGTGACATAACTTAGTTTTGCTATCCTGTTATTTCAAATGGGAAAGTCGGATACGAACTACTGGAGCTAAGTTTTCTAGTACTTAGCTATAAGGATGGAAATAGCATGAAAATGATTTTTCTGCTGTATGCAACTATGGAAAATGCCTTTAAAGTTTTGCTTAAAAATTGTCATACTTTTTTTTTTTTTGTAATGAAGGACGATGTAAAACTTCACTTTGCATAAGTTTTTGGGGAAAGACCTAACTTTTTACATATATATATAGATAGATAGATAGATATTTGGAAGGAATAGGGGAATCTGGAAACTAGGGTTTAGAGCAGATTAGTGAAGTCATTAAAAGTTTTATTACATCCAGTAAACTAATATTCTAAAAATCTTCTTGAGGGGTATTTCATGGCAGGGAATTGCTTTGTTTACCTTAATTTTACTGAAGTGTTAGTACTACTAGTGTTACCTTCTTGCGTACTCTAAACAAACCCTTCACACTCTTCGCAGCAAGTATGCATACATCACAAAAAAAATAAAATGCTGTCTCAAGCATTATAAATTTGATGCATTAGGAAATCCTCACCTATTTCAGAAATATTTTTAGGAAATACCTGTCCAAGATGATACTTGTGTCCATCTCATATCATACTTGCAGAATTAATTCAGGCTTATTCTTCGATGGTTTGGATGGTATCTGTACCCACACAGCTTTGAACCTGAATTTTGAGTTGCTTTCACTCTTAGCCAGGTGACTTCCAAAATATTCTAGGCTTCTTTCTTAAGCTCTCCTTTTGGTAGGACTTGCAATGTATTGGCTTGAAAGGAGAATGTAAATTTAGTTACTTGAGTACTAATAGATCTATATGGTCTCATCGTGATTTCCCAGAAGTCTTCCCACAACTGTCTAGTGAGGAACCATAAAGCAGCAGATGTAGTGGGAAAATTCCCAGCCAAACTTGGGAGTAAGATTCCAAAAGCCCAGATGTGTTGATGGATTGTGTTTGATCTTGGGTCTGACTGTTTAGACTTGCATGGTCCTCGTCAAGTTAATTCTGCAGTGATAATTGCAGCACTGTGAGAATGAGCAAAAACTCTTGATCTACCTTGATTTAAATTTAGGGCTATGGGCACATGAGAAGTGATGTGGTCACTACTTAATGAGTCAACACGGATTATATGTCAACTCCCAGTCCACTCTAGTTGAAAAATACTGTTCCTAAGAATTATACCAACAAGGTTGTCTAAACCAACGTATTTTATTTCTCAGCTGTGAATGACCATCAGTATTTTTATTGTCAGTTACTGTCACTCTGATGGAATAACCTGAAATGCACTCATTAAATTTTTGATCTTGTGTTTATATCCCCAGATTTTGGTGCTGCATTAGTATGAGGATTTGATTTTGTCAATACGTATGTAAATATTTTCCCCCACTTTTTCAGAAGAGTATTGCTACACGTATCCTAAGTCCTAAACAAAATCAGTTTCAGCTAGATTCAATACTTGGCATTTTTTCCAGGAAGCTTAGTGGCATGGAAATCAGAGTTAAGACAGTGGTTTCTTTCAGGTGTTTTAGCCTGACATAGAGCTGAAAAATGTTGCTCTACAGATTCTGTAGCATCTTTCTGATGGATTGCTCTTCATTCTCATTGGTTGCTGCCTGCCTCTATTCCAGACGAATATATTTTTCACACTTAAACTCCATTTGAAGTTTTAAATTGTGCTAACGTTATGCTCTGATATCAGAGATAATATGGCCCAGTGTTTGAACAGTGATCCTGTTTTCAGTTTATCTACTAAGTAAGACTGGATATATGAATTCTTTCTTTGTCTCTTTCCTTTCTCATTCACACATTAAGATTGATTCTAGGGTTGAAATACTTCGCTTTTTGTCATGCCTAGCACAGTGGAGACTCAGGTTGGTCTGTAGTGAGCAAAGTAATTTATTCTTATTTTTTACACGATATATATTCGTGTTCTTTACAATGCAGCTATCCTATTTGGAAGAAATTCAACAGCTCTCAAATTACACAAGATACTGCATTTACTTCAGAGAGAAAGAGTTTTATATATGGTAGTGGTAAATTCCTGGTAGTTTGAGCCAAGGTTGTGTGTAGCCACTTGCTCACACTGTGCATTCTTCAATGTAGAACAGACCTGGTTTCGAGTAATTCTTTCTGAAGAAACAATCTTTATGTGCTTGCAGTGTGCCAAAGGCAGTGATGCATTTTCTGGTGAACCACGTGAAAGACACTCTTCAGAGCGAGCTGGTAGGCCAGCTGTATAAATCCTTGTTGTTGGATGACCTTCTGACAGAATCTGAGGACATGGCACAGCGCAGAAAAGAGGCAGCTGACATGCTAAAGGTATTAAAAAGATCAGGATCTCATGGGAGGAGTTAATTAACTGAAACCATATAAATGTGAGATTTTTGGAAGACTTGCCTCCCTTTTTTCTTTGCTGATTTTTAGGAGTATGCCAGTGTATTACTTCTCCATGCTAGAGGAATTAAAAGCAGTATGTGGCCAGGAAGTATTATGTAGATTGAGTAGTTGGGAAGAGGTGACTTAAACTATATTTTGGGTGTAAAGCAGCAGCTCTAATCTGGTGTTACTTTCAATTACACATTTGGTTTTAACAATTTGCTTTTATTTAATTTCCTTTATAGCATTTAGCAGTTCTCTTTTGGGGGATTAAACTTACACTGTTTTAAGTGCCATTCATGTATATGCTTCACCCAGAGCCTGCTGGCCAATGGCTGGTGTATCTACACAGTACCCCATAATATGAACAGTGGGAATGTTGGGACTCAGTCATGATGACCCCATGTACATCTGTATGACAGTGCGTTTGTGACATGTCTGTGTTACCGAACTCTTCATTTCTTCATTGTTCAATTATGTGACGTATCAGAGTCTGCTGCAGCAGAAATAGCTGCTTTGAATTGAACTGCATAGAAAAGTCCCTCTGCCAGTTCAGCTCACTGAAGAAGTAGCAAGAGGTGCTTCTCTCATACACACTGTGGTCAGACAGTGTGTGTTTGAGAGACTGGATGCCCTGAGATACCGCTTGTCCAAGACCACCTGCAGCAAGTTTAATCTTTGCTATTATATGATCAACATTTGAGTGAAGGGAACTTTTAACAGTCTTTTAAACTGTAAATGTTATAGGGCCAAACTCCTAACTCAGATTTTTCCTAATTGGAGTAATATTTTAAATAATGTTAGTATTAGTTGGTATTCTGAGCTTTTGAATTTGTAAAGTTTAACAGGCCAGACTAATGAATGCATCAGAATGCTAGAAGTGATACAAAATAAGTGCAGTTTGTGTTTTATTTTGAGGAAGGTTTAATGCGTTAGAACTGTGTAGTGAAAAAGTCTGTTCTTCCTGAGAATTCATTTATTAAATACAAAATGTTAAGACAAACACAGGTGTTAATGGGAACACTGATTATGCAAAAGTTGTTCAGAATGATGATAACGAGCTCTTTTTGCTTCTAACTGGAAGTTCAGTTTTCAATTAGTTTTTAATTCTTATCTCTCTAAAGAAATGATTTAATGACACCTATGCTAAGTTTTATCATGACCTTTTGCTTTGTAGTATTTTCCACTTGCATAATCTTTTGCAGATGGAAGGCTTCAGACTTGTTAATCAATGTTGTTGCAGGTTGTTACCACTTAGTTCACAATAAAAATGATTAGCTTTAATTTGATTTTTTAACATTACACTTCCTAGACTGTTGCTGTTATCTATCTGAGAAATCTCTTTGAGAAAAACTAATTAACTTTGGCTTTTCTGTCTTTCTGTCTGCAGGCCCTGCAGCGAGCCAGTCAGATCATTGCAGAGATTCGTGAGACACATCTTTGGTGAAGGCTGTACCAGCCACACTATTTATATCCATTGGAGGTTACATTGACTTCAAAATTGCTAGGCATGGTATACGGAGTAGAATTTTTATTTATGAACTCTTATCTGTGTACTGCAACTGTGTAAATCTGCTCATGTAAAAACAGTAAGTTTGATTTGCAAACAGAAAAATATGCTGTATTTTGCAAAATAAGTCATATTTAATCCACATAATAAATGGCTCTAAATGTTTCCTTACCAGCTGTCTGGTGCAAATTAAAGCAGACCAAGTCTACTGTCTCAGTGACAGTCTCATTGAACTTGGGGAAAAAACATTCAAGTTCCAGTGCCTGACTTGCTAAACAGGTTGCCTGTGGTTAAGATGGACGGTGTAGTCTTGTGGCATAGTTTTAAGCTGCTTTTACAATAGAAGTTTAAATACTGTGAAGAGAAGAGAGCACCGAGTATTTTCTTTCATGAATATATTGCATGCACTATGACAGATGGAGGTATCAATTTTATAGCACAGTAGAGATGTCTACCGTATTACTATGTATGTGTGTCCCCATTTTTTCCCCCAAATGTTAAAACTGCAGACAAAACTTTAAACTTCATTTAATGGAGTATTATGTAGGAAGAATTAGCCTGGAGCTTGTGAACAGTAACAGCCTACTAAAAAGTGGCTGCAAAGTTATTCATGTGCACTGAAGCTTGTGTATAAATGTTGAGGATTATAATCAGGTACAAGAACACCTTCCCCTTCCCCCTGCCCCCCGGGACCAAGCCCCTGGACCATCTGGCAGTAAGTCTGTTCTGGCAGAACTGAAAAATAAAAATGGCTTTCAAAACTGTAATGGGGTAATAAGTGTTTCTTTTAAAAACAGATTAAGTTGGCCGGGGAGAAGGGGATTCTCACAACTTCTACCAAATTTTGGAATGTATGACAGTATGAAAGAAAGTGTGTGGGATTGGAATATTTATACCAGAGATTACAGTTACTTTTGAGGAAATTTTACTGTGCTGTAAGTAGCTTTTTTCTTTTTTTTTTTTTCTGAGGACAATCCTAAAATTAGGGAATTTTAGGTTGGAAATTAAATTGATTAGTTATTTTTTTCTAATTCATACAGATAAATATTGATCGCACTAGCCTTTAAAAAGTAAACATTTTAATTTTTATGAATAAAAATTTATTTAAACTCCAGCCAGCACACTTGCATGTACTTTTCAAGCAGATTCACTTTTTTGTATAAATGTTTACTATGGTGTGGCTGATACTTTTAACACAACTTGCATGAAAAATAGGATAGTGCTGTTAACATCCATGGCTTGCTTTTATGATACTGGGCCAATATAGTGAGGTTTTTATTACCGTATTCAGTTCCTTCCCCATTTCATCAGTTAGCAGAAATTGAATTCCTTTTGTAAGCTGCTAAAGATTGAAAATTTAAAAACTGTTAAGACCTCAGTTTACAAGGCAGCCTGTTTGAAAAATGTATTTTTCTCGTGGTAATCTTCAGTTTGGCACCAATATAAGCACAAGGAGTTAAGTCTGACAGCTGCAACTTTTGGATACTTTATGCATGATCTGAAATAATTCGCGCAGAACACAGAAATACATTCTGTGTTTTTGAACCGCCTAAAAAAGTCACGATGCATGCATTACATGTAATGAATACAAAGGGATTAATTTTAATATCTTAATTGTATCCAAGGATGGTAATTCTCAGACTTAAACGTGAATATAGTGAAGCGCAAGTCACTTTTCAAATCAGTTTTGGTGAACAGTTTAAGTTTTTAATAGTTTTGTCAAAAGCATTACATTTCTGTTTGGAATTCACCCGACACCTCTCTCCCTTTTACTTTCAACGTCCAAGAAGTAAGTTTTCAACAAGTACGTTTTCAACAAGGTAGAGCCGTCCATAAGTGAATTGCTACTGAAGATTTAACTCCAAAGTTCAGTCAACAGTCTCTTGTGAAGAAATATTCTGACTTGTAAAGTTTTGTAATGCTGCATAAAGCAAATGAATTCCATTTATTTAAGAAATTCCTGCAAGTGATAACTGGCTCTGTAATGTCATGTGAAATTTCCACAGTGTTAACTTGTTTTTTGAAATGTTATGACTTTTTTTGTTTGTTTCACAAAATTTTTCAATTTGGTAATGTTTGAGTGCCAAGAAATGAACTTGATTTGTAATCCTTGAAGTCTTTAAAAATCCATACTGTAACAATTCTGTTATTTAATAAACAGATAATACACAAAATTAATTATCCCAGAAATAAAGTTTTGAACTGACCTGTAGTTCAGGTGGCAGGACTTATATACTCTTAGAAGTTAATAGTATAACTACCTATATTTGTACAGCCTTACATATGTTTGCACTTGCCCTCATGCAATTCTACATTATTAGTTCTTGCATAGTTGCATAAGTAATAGTGTAGACAGCCTGCTAGTAGCTTTTAATGGGTTTTTAAACAATTTGTTGTCTGGAATTGAACTAAAATACTTGAAATGCTACTGTTACTGCCACCATTAAAAGAAATTGTGGGGAAACTATGGAAAAACGTCTAATGAAGGCACCAACTGAAAAATTCCCAGATTAGACTGATGGTTTACAAATGTCTTCTAGTCTACCTTATTTAATTTAAACTTGAAATACTTTTGTCATCAATGCACAAATTTCAGCTAACTTGAAATAACTTGCTATCCAGTGAAACACACAATCATGGGGGAGAAAAACCACTGTAGCTAAGTTTAGATTAGTAAATGTTTGACATTAATACCTCACCTATGTGTGGTACTACTGTAAATATAACATAGGGATACTATGTGAACAGAATTTGTCAATAAATTACTTGGGTTTTTTAGTAGTCAGTTTCAAATTTCACTTAGTGAATAGATGGGTAAGGGGGCTGTCTGTGTGCTTCAGACTGTATTCTGAAGTAAACAAACTTGTGCAAAATTTGCCTTTCCTCTATGCTTTATGGAAGATTGACTTTGAAAGATGCCAGATTGGATATTGCAAACTCAGGTCCCTCCTTTGTGGAATACAGCAGGGGGAAACAATTTGCCAGTCTGTTGTGCCCCTGTTGGTAACTTGAATTGAATTCCTGAAACTTCCCCCCCCTCAGTTAAATCCTTTAGCTATGAGAGCGATTCCTAGCTATTGTTTTCTATATACTGAAGATCTCAAATGCATCTGCTTTTTAACTTGTTGCCAGTTAAACTCTGTGCTTTGAGGTGAGAGCTCAATGATTAATAAATACTTCAAAGTTTAAGAGAAAAACAGAGCAGACCATCTGAATGGGGTTTTATGCCCAGTGACTGTTTAAACTAGTGAAGGTGCTTTCATGCTCCGATAGCTCCCTTTTAGTTTACTTGCTGCAAGCCCTTTCACCCTTCACATCTTCATTGCTGGCTGCCACAATATTGTTAAATTCAAGTCTTACAGTTTTTGCTGTACAAATGTTTTTGGTGCATGTTTTTTTTTAGTATCTGACCTAAATAATTCCTTTCCTTCTTGCACTTCCAAATCACACATTTGTAGACATGTTAAATAATATTAGTTACTACTTGTTTAAATTTGAACAAGCTATGTCTCTGATTAGCTGAGCATACCTATGTTGGGGTATATTAGAAATGAGACCGGGTTAAGAAAGAATACTTGGATTTTTTTTTGATCATCCTTGATTCTCAGCCTAAGTGTTCAAATGCTCAGTTGCGATACCCCTGTACCGTCATGAAAAGTAGTGGTTATATCCAGCTGTTTTTTAGAGTCAGGGAAGGGTTTGGACTGCTAGGAGCTGATCAAAAGGAAGCATGGACTAAATTTCTTGGAGTTTATGGATCTTATTAAAAACTGTATGCAAAGAATTTAATTCCCTTTTTTATTTTGTATTTGTAAAAATAAAATCCTTTGGTAAACTATTAAAAGTGGGTACTAAGGCTTTTAAAAAAAAAAAGCTGAAATTTGTGGATGTATGTGTATCATCAGCTGCACCATTTGGAGATGAAGGAAAAAGGCAGGAGAGCGACAGATGTGAAACATTACCTACTCTACTCCTAGGAGTTTTATTTCCTGCAACCAGAGAGTAACTGTCAAACCTGTGCTGTTTCTCTGGAGGCTGATATAGGTGTGTACTGGTACATTTTGTTCCCAGGTATGTGGTTCTGTACTGCTATAATGCTTCTGCCATTTAAGGAACAAGGCAGCTGTATTAAGTGGATGAACTTAACTTTCCCTTCCCTTCTTCTACCCCTTTTCACATCAAAGTTGTGATTTTTTTCCTCTATGTGCTTTCTCTAGCCTAACTTTGATCATTACTGCAGCTTAAGTTTCTCATTCTAGCACAGATGCATCCAGGTAATTCACAGGACTGAAGAAACAGAATGAGTGTCACCCACATAGTAAGTCATATAAAGCACACAGAAGGCAAAAAAGGGATTCATCAGGTTGATTTAAGCTTTGAAAGGCTCTATACTCACATTTCAAAAAGTGAATTTTCTCTGTATTACCACATTAAGGCTGGAAAGCTTTTATGCAACATGCCCCCATACATAACCAATAAGAAGCTCACGTATTGGGGCTTAATCATTCTATGCATTTATTGTGAACCTTCTGCAACTTCCTTCAAAGCAAAACTGCTCAGAACAAAAGTGTTGATTGTAGGTTGGTTGTCCTTACCCACTTACGCAGGTTTCTCTGTTAAGATGAAGTCAAACTGGACAGCAGCATACATCCTCTAAAAGTACTGGTTTTGAGTATGCTTTTGCTCATCTTGATGTGGGTTGTGCTGTGGAGTACCTGGCCACTGTTCTTAACAACATAGAAGGTTATTAAAGGCAGGAAAGAGCATCTCCATCTTTGGACTTTGAAATTAATCTTATCTTCTTGTGCATACCTGCTTATGAATGGTGCTTTGAGTAACGCAGAGTATCTAAAAATCATTTCAGTGGTGTAACTTAGTTGCCTTTATTTGAACTCTGTTGGTGTATTTTCAGAATGAAACTATGGTATTGGGCAGTTTGTGAGCTGCGTAGTAATGCACAGTATAGAAACATTGTTGAGTACATCTTCAAGCAACAGAGTTGAAATGATCCGTCATTTTAGGGAGATATTCTCTTGTCACAACTGCAGCCACTTTATAATGTAGTAATTTTTCTTTCCAATCCTAAGCAACGATACTCCATTCTTGAGAATATGCTGTCCAAGAATAAGAACAGTCTCAGGATTAGTTACACGAATCCCATTTATTGAAACTCCACCATTTGTAATTTTCTGGTACCTTAAAAAAACCAAAAACAAACACAATGGTTAATTACAAGAGGAAGGTATTTATTGCTGTTAAGTGCTGGAAGTTCAGTTAAGGGGTTTTGGGTTGCATCCATAATTGAACAAATTTTAATCCTCTTGTGCTTTACTTTCAGTCCAGGTCAAAAGTCACTGAACTTAACCTTCGCTTCTACCACTCCCATTCTTTCTGAGAGGTATAAGGAAACTTAGGCTGTTGCCTTAGGCTGTCCCTTCATCAGATGCAGATTTTAAAGCGAAGGCACATGAGACTGCATTATCCTACACTTTCACTTCAAAATGGAATGAGGCCACCTGCTCCCCTCTTCTTTAATGCTGGTATGTAGATCACTAGCCTGTTTCTACTTGGCTTTGCTGTCCTGATCTTTTCTTTACATTCTGAAAGCATACCACTACAACCTGTTTAAGTGGTTGAGGTATTGCCAAAGAGCACAAGTGATAACATACCCACTAGGTCCATCTGGAATGGCATTTGCTTTGCGACACAAGTCAAGAACATCCATTCCAGGTTCAAGCATCAATTCAGCTGAAGGAGCTTGTCTAAAAAGTTCCTGTAACTCTTGGTCAGACATAGCTTCCAATGCCTCCAGGCTGCTGTGATAAAGGGCCTTAGTGCACCTGTGAGAACAAAGATCATTCAAAATACAGTGCTAGTCTCATCTTCACACAAAGTGCTACTCGACTAATCAGATTCCCCTCCCCAGCTTCTGAGGGTCCACAGTAACAGAAGTACTTAAAATACAGAACGAATTTTTTTTTTTATTGTAACCCACTGCACTGCAATTTTTTTTAAATACATTGTTAATGTATTTTTAAGTCTACAGAATTCCTACATTTTTCTCTTTTAACAGCTGAGCATCAACTAACTACATGAAAATAGTCCATGAAAAGCTATAGATAATTACCACTCAATAAATCTGAAAGAAAACTGCTTGACAAATCAAACTTCACCTCTTAGCAGATTCTAGCCCATCTCTACCATGAACAAGCTTGGTTACTTCTGCAGCAAGTCGTTTCTGAGGGCCCCATTTTTCAGGTTCTTTTGCATGCATTTCCATGATGTGGTCAATCTCCTCAAGAGGAAGGAAGGTGAAGAGTTTCAGGTATCTACGAGCCGGGAAAAAAGTATTTTGTCTATATCGCCATCATTACAGATTTCCTGCCTTTGTCATTCAAACTTCATTAACTACACTAAAATGATTCTTAGTCAATTTAAGAAATCCATAATACAGATATTGTGTCCCTTCAAATAACTCCTTTGTTTTTGCCCACATGCTTCAGCTTACCAGGATAATTCACATTTTATGTAATATTCTGCCTAGGGTAATGTCTTCAGATGTAAGATAGTGTCAGATGCTTTTATTGCTTGATTGCAATCAACAACTTGATTTTCTCTTGAAACATTTACAGGATTTATTGCAATTGTGTGTCAACTAACAAGGTTTTATATTATATTCTTAGTAGTTGCCAATACACTAATGCAAAATACCACTGTCAGTCCATGGTGATCATCAGACAGAAGTATCCTATGTATCGACAAGTATCTCAGCAGAAAGATTATTTAGGATAATCAAGAATTTAAAAGTGCATATATAAGCACACTCTTTGCAACAAAGTCCATTTTAACAGGCTTGCAATACCATGAAATGCAGTGTATCAAAAAAAGGTACCTTTACTGTTACAAAGTCTGAATGCAGGAAATATTTCAATGTTTCCACATACCCTTCTTTTCAGTCTGAAAAGTGTTGTGGATGCAGAACCTAAATGTGAAATATCAAGGAATAAACCTTTGAGAGGTAACTGACTTATGAGACAGGTCGCAATATGAAAGGGAAGTACCTGTCTGAGGTTCATGAAGACTCAGATTTGACAGTGATATTGAAGTTTAAAGAAAAGCAAATTTAAAAAAGAACATATAGCAACTTATTAAAATTAATGTAATGCCCTGAATAAAGCTACTGGCTGTCTATTTTCAGCCGTGTCACTGGCACACCAGCATGGAGGCTAGTGTGCCTATGAAGTCCTCAATGAAGGAAACCTGTCAAATGGTATTTCTCGTATTTTCACTAGCCTTTCATGTTCTCATTATATGATTTTAGTATTTTTACGCTGGTCAGTAAGAATATGAGTTATTTGTGGTTGACTTGGATTCAGAGACAGTACAATGAATCCAAGACCACATTCTGCTCATTGGAGCTGTTCTACTCTAATGACTATACAGAATTTTGTCTTTGTACATGCTACAGCTTTAAGCAGTAGTTGGGTATCCTTCCAGGCTCTGGTGCATTACAGTCTCATCTACTTTATGGATCAATCCACTTGTCATTATAATTGTAAGCACAAATCTTTGCTTCTGTATTCCAAGATGAGAAAGATGAGCAGTTAACTTCAATGAAACCATCAAATATTAAGTAGAGTCAGAATGACGCAAATCGTTCCTATCTGCAATTTTCAAAAATACCCACTAAAATTTCCATGCAAGGTATATGGAAAGAACATCAAACAGCCTTAAGGTCTCACTGTGTTAGTCCTATTGGTCATTGACGTAACTAGCACTCCTCCCATCATCTAAACATTTTTAATTAATGCTTAATTGTGTGAGTTATGGTACATGGATAGAAATAGATGGTATGTGTGTCCAGAGGTGGACAAAATTGCATGAGACATTTTTACCCCAATTACACTACTAAACTATAGACTAAGGTGCTGGCTGCTACCATCTCTGAAGAAGTACAAGCAACCTAGTAATTTGACTAGGTGTATGAATTTTGTTCATTCTGGTTTTCTCCTCTGCCTTAGTTTTTACTTTCAACAATGACTTAAAACTGATGCCTGAAAACCTCTGCCTTGTAAATTCCTTGTATGCTGCCTGCCATGAGCTTAAAACAGTGTAATTTTCTCCCCTTTTTAACTGCACTACTACAGCAGTGTAACTGTCTCCTAGGCATGTTTTTATCTAGACCAGTGGTCTCCAACATGGGGTGTCAGCACCCCAGGAAGTATGCAAGATGATCCATCAGGGTGCAGGAAGAAAGTATTAGAACTTCAGCAGTACACTAACAAAATCTATAAATAAATGTATGTATATTGGGAGTGAATGCTCAAAATTTTTTTATTGATAGGGGCACATGACCAAGACAGTTTGGAGACCAGTGACCTAGAGAGTTAATACAATCATAAATACGAACTTCTTGGCTTTTTCTTAACAAGGCACTATTTAAATTTGCTTAGGGATATGCGGGTTTTAATGTGATGCAGTTCTAGAAGCTGAATGTTACGTGTTTGTTTATAACCAGTTAAGTAGCTGCGATTTGAATGTGGTGTTTCTGGATACCTCATACTAAGTTAAAACTTGTAATAATTAGTATCTATTAAACTGCAGTTGCTTATTAATCAGCAGGAGAGATTTCATTTGATGCTATGACGCTATGGTACTGAAACTAACATATCTCATAAGATAAAGTCATCTCACTGGCAGAACAAAATGCGTTACATGTTACTTGTTTGTTCAACCACAGTCTAATTTTATGATGCATATGCCAGCATATAGAGACAGGTTCCACTATCCTGTATACTTAGGAACCAGTCATGCCTGTTTATTTAATGAACGTACAGTTATAATGAACATATACTTCTACATGGAGCTTGTGTTGCACATATCCAAATGAAACAGTTACAGAGAACAGTTAGGATCAGGTTTTATAAACAGTGACAAAAAGCAAGGTGATAAAAAACTACTTACTTTTCAACTATGTTATCTTGTTGTCTGACAAAAAACTGATATAGCTCAAATGGAGAAGTCTTATCTCTGTTTAGCCAAACTGCATTGCCAGCAGTCTTTCCCAGTTTATCTCCAGTAGTACTGGTAATAAGAGGTACAGTAATTCCAAACACATCTGTTCCTGTCATCCTGAGAAAGAGAAGAGTCACTGCATGGTAAGGAGAAAAAAAATAAATCACATCTTGGTAAAGTTGACTAATACATAAGCATTCTGTAATATTCTATCCTTGATATAAAGCAGTTAAATAAGACAGGGGGCTGAGAGGCAAAAGATGCCAGAACACTGTTTTGTGAAGAATGCTTTGAGAAAAAAAAAAAAACTGAAGAATTTAAGTTCTTTTGTCTTAACAAAGAATTTTACGTAGTTTACATAAGTAGTTTCATGAGCAGCACTAGCAAATTCGTATGTCCTGTTCCGTTTGTCTTCCGCTCTGAGCACTAACTGAAGCTGCTTGTGTGGCTGGGACACTTGTAAGGCTTTTCTTCTGTGCTGGTTCTCTGTCTTGTACTGAAGTAGAAGCATTGCCACTGTACTCGCTGATTTGCTTGTATACTTCTGCGAATTTTTTAAGACTCACACCAAATTTGGTGGATAAGCAAAAGCTCATCATCATCAGGTTTCATTTTATTTCTGAGAAGAAATGCAACCATCTTTACCAATACACCGCAACTGCCTCTACTTCAGTATGATTAAACTAGAATGAGTTTGCCAGCAGAAGCCTTGTCTCGATTTTGCACCACGTTTCAGGATATCCAGGATATCTGATTTCGGTTTTTGGGCAAACACATTCACTAAAACAAGAACCCACCTCTTTTGTTAAAAAGTCACTAACGTTTCACGGAAAAGGCTTAAAACCATGGCCAAAATGTACATATGTGCCAGGCTCATGGTCAGGACAATTAATTATTGTTCTCAAACCCCAGAGTTTTGTGTAACGCCAACTCTCCGAGGGGTGACTTCTGCTCCTGGTGCCTTAGGGCCTGTCGACACGAAGTTGCACAGTTAGGGCACCCGACGCCCCGACCCCGCAC